TTTTATTTTTAATTAAAATAAATTTATCAATAATTTTTTTTAAATATAAATATTTTTTTGGTATATTTCTTTTATTTATATAATGTAAGTACTTTTTTTGTTAAAAAAATTTAGGAACTTTATCGTTTAAAATATGAATGTTCATCGGCTTTTTTCATGTTTTTTCCATTATTTTATTACAATAATTAGTTTTATAGGTTATAAGAATGTATATAACAGGTTTTAGAAAGTTCAATGAATTGTTTAACATGTTTTGGAATGTCCAAGGACTTATTTATTTCAAAAAAATATCCAAAAACTTAATCATTACAAACACTAAAGTCTATTGAGTTTTTTTTAGACTTTTTCTTTCTTTTATAATTAATTTGACTAATTATTTTATTTATCTTGAATAATTCAATAGCATATTATAAAAAAAGATATTCAAGAAATTAGGTTTGTGTGAAATCACAACCGGTTGCACCACCAACCACCGAGTATTACCTGCACTAGCCGGTTGCCGGTAACTTCACGGGGTAGGTTGGCAGGGTTTGGTAGTAACCCAATGCCACGTCTTGCCACGTTGGAGCCGTGCTGGACACAGAAACATTTTTTCCATATTGACGATAATACCCTTCACCTTCTATTTTTATGCATTCCAATGCCTCCACCATTTTCACCAACCCCCATTCAAATCTCTTCTTCAATGGCGACTTCATCAAATTCAATCACATTGAGAACTATACCAGTAGGCATATATAATTGGTTCAATATCTGTTAAGCAATCAATTCCACTCTAAATAAAAGCTTCTGCCATGGCCGCTGCAGCTGCCGTTACTCCTAAATCTGCTGCATTCGGTGCAAGATCGTCAAATCTGTCGGATGCCTATTTGAATTCGATCTGTTTGAGAAAGCCAAGTTCCGGATTCCGATATAACATTGAACGGAAATGGGGGAATTTGTCACTGCAAGGTGGCGGCGGGAGGAACAGGGGAGCGATTGTAGAGAGAGAAAACAGAGGGAGAAGAGGAGTGGGGTTGGTGAAGTGTACGGCGGAGGGGATAGAGAGAGGAATATTGACGGGAGGGAGAGCGCAAAAAGATGGTTTTGTTATGCCGGAGCGGTTGAAGGTGGTGGCGTTAATGGCGTGTGTGATGTGTTTGTGTAATGCTGATAGAGTTGTTATGTCTGTGGCTATTGTTCCTCTTGCAGCCAAACATGGCTGGAGCAGTTCGTTTTTGGGCATCGTTCAGGTACTGATCTTGCCTCCTTCTCCCTTTGATAATTGATCATACTTAGTTTATCACAATCAAATCAAGTTTAGGGTTTACCAATTAGACTGGAACCCCACAAATCTAAGTTTGATGAATCGTTGATTGTCTGTGTTTCTGTTCCTAATTAATCATATTGATTAATTGGTCAACTAAATTCTCTAGATATAATGAGTTAAAGAAAAGGTCAAATTGGATCAACTAGAAACAAGGATGTGGGGTTCCATCTAGATGAATTGGATTTGGGTTTGAATTTGACCTCCAAAATGAATCCGTAGATTACTAGAACCGAATGGGGTTCTGACATTCTGTATGATTGATTCTAACTTTCTAAGTGTTCAGTAGTTGATGGTTATGTTTTAGTTCACAAGCAATGTTTTTCTTTCAATTTCTTGACTTAATTTGTTAATTTTGGATGATAATTAGACGAACATGATGTGATTGATATAGTTATGAGGATCTAAATACGGATAGATTGTTTTGTTGCATGCATTGTCTGTTTTGGATGTTGAAGGTATTATAGGAACAAGAATATTAAGAAGAATAATGGAATATCATCTAATTGTATGCACAAGAAGTGATACCTTTTCCATTCCCTATATAAAGTTCATCTTTTTCGAACATAGTATATTTCAAAGTAGCATATTCGTTAGTTTTTAGCTGGAATTATGGCCTTTTCTCATCAGTTTTGAAGTCAAAAAGCAACTTATTTGACACTTAGTCAAGACCGGATTATGATTTTGAGACGAATGTAGTATTGGTATTAGGTTTGTGAAATTATAAAGTGAATTTTTTGATGCACCTTTATTAAACCAAACCAAAAAAAACCAGTATGTATGACACAAAAGTAGGGTCTGGAATGATGTATGTAAGACATTTTCTCTGTGTAAGATGCACCTTTATTAATTTTCCAATTCTAAAGTGAAAATTAAGGTCAATCTTTTGTGGTTGTTGGACTTAGAAAAGTGTGGTTGGTAGCAACTTGAGGAACTTTACAAGATGGAAAAAGATATTGTAGTTGGTAAGAAACATCTCAAAATGAGGTTTTGCCACTCTACCAAACTTGAAAACTCATTAGCAGCCATGCCTTACTGATTATATTGACCAAAGATACGTTTCAAAATAGCATTGGAAGTTGAAATCAAGTTTTGTTGACCCCACCCACAATATACATATATTTTTCAAGGACTAATAGCTCCTGTTTACCTGCCTCTTATTTTAAGTTCTTGGTGTTGTCTTTAGAAAGCATGATAAGCCAAGATAATCTATATATAATGTTTTCAAAAGGAGATATTTAAGGGTCTATTTTAGTACTCCTTGATGTGGTTCTAACATGTTTTCCTCAAAATAGACGGTTTTTTAACTATAGACCCTTTAAATGTCTCTTTTGAAAGCTTTTTTCTTAAAATATGAATTGAATGTAAGTATGTTTTGCGATGCCATATATCATGTATTAAGAAAGACATCAAATAAATGTCTCGTGCATCTTCTTTAATTGTTTGTGGGCCATTTTTTACAAATAAAGTTCATTATTCTATTAGTTACAGTAAAACAATGGTCGTTTTTAAAAATAGTGATAAAAATCAACAAAAGTTCAAGGAATCATATATGCTCGGTATGGTTTATTTTTTAAATGATATAGTCTTAATGTAGTTTACCAGCCTTAAATTTGTGAGCTTTAGTCCTTTTTATGCAATAATGAGAACCCGAGAATCAAATCATTCGAGTGGTTGAATCTCCGGTTTTTGTTATTAGCTTCTTCTTTATATTGCAAGTTCATGTAATGTTTCGGGCCACTAGAATCCAAAACTAACCACCAATAATGTAACCATGGCATGAATAGTCATCATTTCTATGGGGATACATTTTTTCATCCGTCATTGGAGGAGCCTTGGTGGACAAATATGGAGGAAAGCGAGTGATAGCTTGGGGAGTAGCCTTGTGGTCCTTGGCCACTCTTCTTACTCCATGGGCAGCAAATCATTCCACAGCTGCCCTTTTAGCTGTTCGTGCTTTCTTTGGTCTTGCTGAAGGAGTTGCTCTTCCATCAATGAACATCCTTTTATCCAGGTAAACTATATTCTCTTTTCCTTAATGACTTCAAACCAAACCAAACGAGCCTTGTATATCTGCCTGAAGGTGGAGTCTGAGGAGGGTGGGATGTACGCAAACCTGACCTCTACCTCAAATTTTTACTTAATGCCTCCAAACCAGACAAACGATCCCAATATATCCTACATGAAGGTGGGGTCGTAGGAGGATGGGATGTACGCAGACCTGACCTCTACCCCAAAAAGTAAAGCTGCTTGTGAAAAGTGTGTGAAAAAAGAGAAAGCTAGCACCAATGAATGATCCCATTGTTTGTGTTTAAATTGATTTTGCCCCATTTATGGATGGTAATCAGGTGGTTTCCATGTAATGAACGAGCTACGGCTGTTGGTTTATCTATGGGTGGATTTCACCTTGGTAATGTTGTGGGATTGGTACTAACGCCTATCGTGATGTCGTCGGTTGGAATTTCTGGTCCGTTCATTCTCTTTTCGTCGCTCGGACTTCTATGGCTAACAATGTGGACACTTCGGGTTACAAATGATCCACAAGAAAGTCGTTCCATAAGCAATTCTGAATTGCGATTAATTCAGGCAGGAAAATCCAAGGCTCCTCCTTTAAAGAAGGGTGAACTCCCTCCTCTCCGCCTATTGTTATCGAAAATGCCCACGTGGGCCATCATTTTTGCTAACGTTACCAACAATTGGGTAGGTTTCTTCTTTCTGCTATTTTTGTTTTCTTGTTTCCTTTGATTTTGCAATTCTTATATGCTTCCAAATGTTTATGATGTATTTTTCGTGGTTTCAGGGATACTTCGTCCTTCTCTCATGGATGCCCGTTTATTTTAAAACCGTGAGTGGTGATTCTTTTAGAATTTTCAATGACGTGTATGGGGAAAATAGCGTTGTAGATATCTTGCACACTCAATAGTGCTTAAAACATCTTAACACACGTTAGTGGCCCCTACATATCCTACAAAAAGGGTATGACGCCATCCTCTGGAGTACCGCACCATGAGGAAGGTAAGTCGAGTCTCCTACGGGCAGGTGGGTGGTGCCTGGAGTTAAACCCCAGACCTCACTCATTCTGCAAGGATGTCCACCCCCTTACCTGCTAGGCTAAAGCTGCAGGGACATAGTGGGCCCCTACTGATGTGTTAAAGTAATATCCACCATTTATGATACCTCATATACTACTACCCAATACATATAAAAAGATTCTAGTTTCCAGTACATAATTTGAACTTTGTTATTGATGTATGAAATCCTTTTATGGTAAATAGGTATTTAATGTGAACCTAAAGCAAGCAGCTTGGTTTAGTGCAGTCCCATGGGGAACAATGGCATTCTCAGGGTATGTTGCCGGTGCTGCTTCTGATTATTTAATCAAAGAAGGACACTCGTTGACCTTTGTCCGCAAAGTTATGCAGGTAATCTTCAACATTTACACTCTTCTATGTTTTTGCAGCTTCTTCTTTGCTTGCTTATTGACTACTTAGCTAGTTCCAACATCTGAAGGAAGTCTAGATTGGGCCTGCTGGAGTCCCATATTGGCTAGATACAGACTATCAAACCTGTATATATGTGTGTGTGTGTGTGTGTATATGTATGTAGGAAACTCCCATCTCTCTGTAAGAGATGTTTTAGAAAGAGTTCAAAAGGGCTTCACATATCCTAACATGGTATTAGAGCACAGGTATACCACCACTAGGGACTTGGACACACTCTTTCGCCTTTGTACTTCGGGGCATCATCTAGCCTCCATCTGAAGGGCTTGTTGGAGTCCCACATCGGTTGTACTCGGATTATCAAACTTGTATATATGTTGGAACCTCCCATCTCTTTTAAGAGTTCTTTTCGAGAGAATTCAAAGGGGTTCCACATATCCTAACATGGTACCAGAGCTGAGGTCTACCACCTCCACGAACTTAACACTCTTTGGCCTCCGTTCTTGGGGGCACATCTAGCTTGCATTTGAGGGGGCTTGTTGGAATTCCACATCAACTAGATACGGACGTTAAACTTGTATACATTTTGGAACCTTCCATGTCTTTTTAAGAACTTTTTAGAGAGAATTCAAAAGGGTTCCACATATCCTAACAGGGTCATAGTTTTCTCTTATTTCATATTTCTTGTTCTTTTTTGGGGGTTATTGGCATAATTATTGTCTAATTTTGATTGCATTGTGTTGAATGTGCACAGTCAATCGGTTTCATTGGGCCAGGGTTGGCTTTGCTTTGCTTGAATTATGCCAAGACACCCGTGATTGCATCTGTGTACATCACAGTCGCGCTCAGCTTGAGCGCTTTCAGTCAAGCCGGATTCCTGTTAAATATGCAAGTAAGATTAGTCTGTAATTAAAGTTCGCCTTTTCTTCTGTTTTATTATTATCATTCCGTCCTTCTTTTGTCATGTCAAACAATGAACTCCCGTACCTAACTGCCACCTTATTGTCCCTTTTCCCCCCCTTCTTTTACTAGGATATTGCACCCCAGTATGCCGGATTTCTCCACGGTATGTGTTTTCGACATCTTTTATCCTACGACTGTGTGTATTTGCGTCGCTTGATAAACTGATTTCTTTCACATTTCCCAAAAAAACCGAACAGGGATTTCGAACTCTGCTGGGACATTAGCTGCGATAATTAGCACAATCGGGACCGGTTACTTTGTGCAGTGGCTGGGATCGTTTCAAGCCTTCTTAACGGTTACAGCTGGGCTATATTTCGTGACAGCCATATTTTGGAACATATATGCCACGGGTGAACGAGTCTTTTAGATATGCAAATGAACAAGATGACACGATACAATTAAACTATTTTATTGGTAGGGAGGAGAAGTTTAGTGATTCTTTTTCGGCAGTAATAACTGTGTTTGAGATGATTGGAATGTTGTATGCCATAAGTTGTTATAGGTTAAAAAGGTGGGTTTTGGGGGGTGGTTATTTGTTTAAATCTTTGTGCAAAGTGTAATTTTACAAAATATAGAAGAATATTTTGTATTGTTCTGTTAAATAATATTAACCATTATTATATGAAGGTTGTTTTTAGAGTATTTTTATTTTATTAAGAAACAATCTTTTTATTATTTGTAACAGAGAAAAAGTTGGTGTTAAATGACTAAAATGCCCCTGACTTTTAGGTCTAGGGGTGTTTAGCTGTTTACATCCAACAAATTTGGACGGAACTAATCCATTTCAATCATCAATTAGATGTTGAATTCCGACAACAGGAATTAATATTAGATAACGAATTCAACCAAATTGAATTGAATAGATTCTATCAGTTGAATATGACTACCTGTAATATATATATTAGATTAAAAATTCTTCATACATTTCACTTAAAAACACTACCCAAAGAAATATTAAGAGTAAATTACGAAATTGGTCCCTGTGGTTATATGAAAATAATGGATGGATTCCTTAAAGAAATTAATTACATGTATAGTAATTCTGGTTTCATGTTTATCATGGATTGGGTCCCTTGTTCTAACTTTGTTAACTTAAGTTCTATTAAGTCAATAGGTGTTTTGGTAATTTACTATTTTTTATTTTAATTAAAGTTTTAAATTTTATGATTAATATATACATACATACATATACATATATATATATATATATATATCTATATATCTACAAATCGAAGCAAACTTGGCATGGAAGAATGCGGAGGAAGAATTACTTAGGGGCCGTCTACCTAGATGCTTACCTGGTAAGTGCTTATCGATAGGATTCAACATTATAATTTATTTTGATGTGTAAGATTTTAGTACATCAAAACATATCGAATGCAACATATTACTAGGTAAGTGGGTAAGAGTCGTCATCCTTACTTACCGGGTAAGACTCTCTATCCTTTTCATTGCTCTTACCCAGTAAGATTCTTGGTCCTTCTCATGTTCATTCGATAAGAAAATTTATCCGGTAAGCACTTACCAAGTAAGTGTTTAGTAAACGGCTCCTTAAAGTTACCCATGGAAGAATGCAACATGAATCGTATAGATGTTTGCAAGGAATTTCAATTAATTGGAATGGATCTTTGCAAAAAGCATAATAGGATTCAAGATATGAACTTCTTGAATTTCAATTGTTGGAAGTGCTTTAGTGACGGCCTTTAACACTGGTAGATTCTGATTCATTCTTCCTAGCCCATTCACTTCAATTTGAGTCAATTGAATCAATAATCGTTCAAAACCAGAACCCAACAAAAACTCCGACATACTCACCAGTAATGGCCTCAAACCAAACCCAGCTCCATCCTCGTAATCCAACTCAAACCCACCACCGTTGCTAGTGTGTCCTTGGAGGACGATGACCTGTTCTTTTAGCAAGCTGGAGCACTAGCGGGATAGAACTCAGTCTTGAGCTCTGTTGCTCGTCCCTGACCATATACATGGCCGCATCAAGAAAATGTCTCAGGCGAAACATCGAGAGTGTGGTTTGCAGTAACTGGGTGGGCCTCTCGATTTCCTCTATGAAACAACCATTGCCCAAGAGTCGGAATGCTAATGAACATATGCATTTGTCGAAATTGCAGTTTATCTTTTTATGTGGTTTCGTTCTATACTTGGCAGTCCCATAAGTAATATCTATCACACCGACTTTTGTTGGATTATTTCCAGATTCCAAAGCTTGGCTTCCCCTGATACATTATGTGTCTTCCAATGATTCTCAGGTAATTAGGTCCTCCAAGATATCATACCTAACAATTAGTCCTTTTTTGCCATTAATTGGCAACTCATACTCAAAGATCAGACACATGTTAAGAATATACACTTAAATGAAGCTAAAACAAACCATTGTAGTCTTTTAAAAATGGAAATCTAGCAAAGATCCAAGCTAAAACAAACCATTATTGCAGGAGATAATGGAGTTTGGCGGTTCAAGAATGGGTAGGTTCAACGAGAGTGAAGGAGATGTCGAGTCGGCGGGAGGGTTTCACCGTCGATGGGTAGGGGTAGCCAGAAATTGTGAGTTGGCCGGAGAGGAGATGTCTCCGGTGCTTTGATTGATGCCAGGGTGGGGGGTTTAACAGGGACATTCATGTTTTATTAATACATATACATACATATATATATATATATATATACATACACACACGTGTATATATAATATTAAATATAAGTATATATATATATATATATATATATATCCATACCTAAATTTATGGTTTTAAAACGTGTCAGACTGAGAAGGTATCTAGTCCCTTATATCCCAACCGATATAGGATCTCACATTTTCAGCCATTAGATAGTTTATCCACTAGTTTGTCAAAGAAAGCCCCAAGTGATTCAATTTTCAAACAGAAAATCCATGAAATCAAAGTTTTTCCTTAACTAGCAATAGAATTCTGGTCCTGATTATACCAACATCAAGCAGAAATAAGAGAGCAAATTATTGGCATTCCTCAGATAATAATCGAAATGCAATCGTTCTTCGAATCACATAGAACTGGCAGTTACGATCTACCGCTACACCACAAAATTAATATTATGAAAAGAATTCATATGAAGTCGATAAAATGTCAGAAAAGAACAACTTAACTCAAACAGCAAACTTTCAAAGCAGCCAGATCTTTGCCCCATGTACACTTGATCGTTAACAAATACGACATCTGGTTAACCCCAGTCGTGGTTCAGATATGCAACATCAAAGCTCGATAACCCACATTCCAGAATCCGGTGTAGTTTCAGCAGATATTTATCAACTGTAGATATTTATCAATGGTCAACGAATAAATATTTGATCATTTTGATGGCTTACTTGCATACATGATACGCAGTTCCAAGAAACAGGTATACTTTGAGGTCAAATGATCATTAACTTTTAACTAATCTGTATATATGAAGTATTGATTTCAAAGAAAATTAAGACAAAACCGATCTTTTGGTCATTATGATTTAAATTTATGTTTAATGGAATGAATTTATGAGTGATTTTATAGGACATCAAATATGTCTACATGTCCTAATAAACTGTTTCATAGGACTTATTATATGATCAAATAATTGTGTGTCCTATTAAATGTGTTATAATAAGTTGACAAGACATTTTGGACATAATAACAAATTTTTAGGACCCTTTTGAAATAAAGCGTCCTATTACTCATTTTATACGACATTATTTGAGAATATGTTTTATAAAATGACGTGTTCATAGGACACTTACGTCATGCATAGGTCGGTTCCTTGATCAAGTTTCCATCAGATCCTCCCGAAAGTTCAGTAAGCTCGGCCTGCAATTGTTCGTATTTCTCTTTAATGGCTGCAGAACTCATCACCTCAGCAATACCCTGCTTTATTTGCTGCTCCAAAACCTCCATCTTTTCCTTTGATTTGTCACTAGGAGCGTTTTTGTTCTTTGCGGCCTCTAATTTCAATGTCTCGATTTTGTTTTTCAAATCTGGGGTTGATTCAATAACATCTTGGATTATCTGGTTAATTTCTGCATTAAGTTCATTGACTTTTGCTTTGATCATGGCCATCGAAGATTGATCTACCCGTGAAGCTACATGAACACCTGAAGCTTCGAGAGCATTAACAAATTCGGATTGCACTTCTTTCCTAACTTCCAAAACTTTCTCCTTCAACTCCTGATCGAGTTCTTCAATGGCAGAAACCCCAGATTTTTCAAGTTCATCTTTCAGTCCCAGAATTTTCTGCCTCAGATTGGGTTTTTCCAAAACTTCTCTGAATTTTTCATTCACTTTAGTCTTCAATGGAAGGCTCTTTTTGTAATTTTCAGCAAAGATTTTGGCTTCAGAAATTTCTTTTAACAAGTTTAGCTTGTATTTCATCCTTCCATGGTTAGGAGCCGTTGCCAGATTCTTGTTAAACTCATTCTTTATATCCTCAAGATCCTTAAACTGAGCAGGAGTCAATTGTTCGTCTGTTGCTTTAGCAAATTCTTCACGCATTTTGGTTAATTTTTCCTCGATGCCCAAAGCTTTAGCTGCTTCAGAAATTTCGTAATTAATCTCTCTTTTCAGCTTCTCAATCAACCCGTTTTGATCCATATCTACCGAAGATGATTCCCTTGCTTTCAGAATTTGCTCCTTTAGTTTATTAACCTCACCCCGCAACACTTTGTCGGAAATAAGTCCAGGTCTTGGTTCCTCTTTCCGTTTCATGTTAACTTTCTTTATGGGCTCGACGGGTAGTCCTTCTTGGAATCCACCAATCTTGCGAAACTTGAGCATTCGATGTCTTAATAGATCTTCTGTACTCATCTTCTCAAGCTCCTATTTATAAAAAAAACATATCTGTAAGTATAATCTAAAGCATAAACTTTACTTAACGGTAATTATGGAACTGAATTAATGTACTCACATCCATTGTTTCAAGAATGGCAGCTTTTATTTGTCCGGAAGTCCAGTGCGGATCTGCATGTGCACCACCAAGCGGTTCCTGCAATTATGGTGGGAAAAACTGCGGTCAGCCTCACATAAGATGGATCAATGGAAGTTCAAAAACAAATGAAAATCACCATCAGCTGGGAATCTAAGGGGGTGTTTGGTTCATGGATTTTGAAGGAATTGGAATCAATAATTCCTTTGACCAAATTCCAAATCCTATATTTGGTTCATATGATGAAAATGTAAGAATCCTTTGAAGTCCAATGAATTCCACAAATTAAAGAATTCATCATTCATTAGCATAAGTGAAGGAATTGGATTCCATCTCTTTGCATCCAATTCAGCCAACACCGCCCACCCCCTCCCCCAACTACACCATGCAACTACTGTCACTGTC